AATTCAATTGTGATTGGTCAATTCTTGCGACTCACGACTTTTGCGACTCGCATTGTAGACTCCGCATAAGTTTTTCTATGTATACATACCACGGCCTTTTGTCTAGCCTTTGGTCACAGTTACAATTGGTAATTGATATTGCTGGTAGATGTCTCCGTGTTGTTCACGTTTGTTCATGTGTGCATTCGTCTGAATGTATGCACTACGTTTACTTTTTCCGCAGAGGTAGGCCACAAACTTATATCTACTTCGCGAAATCGTCTCCTTTTTCCCAGCGAGATATTCCACAGCTGTCGCCATGAATTCTGGTGCGTTCAATAACTTCAGAACCTCGCTCTACGTGCTCAACCTGCATGTCGACGTCACCGAGACGATGCTGGACAAGATATTTTCAACGGTCGGGCACGTGAGGCTCATAAAAGTATTCCGCAACAAGAATACCAACACCTCTCTCGGCTACGCATACGTTGACTTCAAGTACTGGCTCGAAGGTAATTTCATATTTTTATTATTATTTTTGTTGTTATTATTATTATTATTATTATTATTAATTACGTTGCCCAATGTCCCATTCCCACAATGGCAGTGGTATGGTAAAACCCACGTGGTCAACGTGTACATCATCGGTACACGTGAATCGCCACGTGCTGCTTTCATGCGTCGCGCCGACGCGCGCACCGTTCAATTCTCGAACCATCGGCATGCTTTTCTGACATCCTACTCCGACATATGACTTGAGCCGGTTCTACAATACATCGCAAACGATGGCAACTGCTATTATAGTTGAAAAGTGTTATTTCTGATTGCCGACTGACAGTTAGCGTCGCCAAAAAAGTTAAAAAAGTTCGCCAACTCTCTTTTAACAACTGCAATTGACAAGTGCAACGTGGAAATAACACTTTTCAACTACCAGTTGTCATATCGTTTGCGACGTATTGTACAACCGGCCTTAATACTTTGACTGCCACTATATATATTGTTAGCTCTATATTATTTAAAATTCTATATTAGAATTTTAAATGGTACAAACAGTTAAAAATATAGACATAACAATATAAACAAGTAGATAACAATATAAAGTATAAAGTGCACTATTCAACGTAGTGCTCATAAGGATACAATTTTATCTATATAATCACACATTACACATTATTTCATTATATATCTTACCATAATGCAGACTGTGAGTATTGTAACGCACACGATGAAGCAGGGCACACACACTTTTCCGTAGAACGTAACAGTAAGGTTTCGACCAGTTGCGTTACTTGATTCGGCCGTCTGTAACCGTAGAAGTAAGAATTGAACAACGCGATTGGTCGAAACCTTACTGTTACGTTCTACGGAAAGTGTGTGTGTGGCCAGCTTTAGACAAAACTTGCTAGGCAGGCAACGTGTTAACTTTTTTTTTAAGCTACACATTTTAAATGAACTCGAGACAACTCGGACTTCAGAGATATTTTGTTTGTTATCAATTAGAAAAGCACCTATTTTTATATTATATTAAAGGATAGAATCATGGAAAACATTAATATATATCTTATTCTGTAATTTTACATTAATTTCAATTGTGAGAGAAAAAAAGGAATCATAATTTGTAAATTTTAATTGAAAACAGCGAATTTACAACCTATAACTTGGTTTAGTAAATGTATTGCGAGATACGCAAACAGAAAAATACAAGATTTATTCTTTTTATATTATATTATACTTAGGAGGATGAGTTCATAGAAAATTATGGTCGCTGTGCAATTGCTCGTCGCACACATTGCGCTCAAGTTATGTGAGCGAGTTACTTTTTGTACATTTTCAAAAGTTATTTGGAATAAAGACACTTTTTTGCGTTCCACTCTACAAACATATCCAATACTATAATTTAACTTAAAAATATTGAGTTTTTGCAGATGCATCTTTAGTTTACAAACTTTCGACAGTTGCAAGAGCAAGTGTATTATACACACATAAATTTATTTAACAATAAGGAATATACACTTTTAAGCATGGCAGTAAAATATTTAAATTATTCAACTTTCGCAAAGATGATACATTAGCATAAATACATGTGTGAACGTTTGTGTTTCAGCCAAACTGGCCATTGATATAATAAATTTCTGCATTATAAACGGGCGGCCTATTCATATCATGTGGGATGAGGACTTTCCCATTTTAACCAAGTTTGATGACAAAAATGTATCTATTACAAACCTAGACAAAAAGATAGATCATCAAGCGCTGTACGATACGTTTTCCGCGTTCGGCAAGATAGTGACGTGTAAGGTTGAGAAAAGCGAATCAAAGGGCACGTCAAAGGGTTATGTCCATTTTGAAACGAAGGAAGCAGCCGACAAATCTATCGAGGAGATCAACAAGATGTTGCGAAGTGGCAGGAAGGTAGAGTAACGCTCTTTACCCATCAGGATAAAAGTTGTCACTCGATTGATTCGTTTATCAAATCCATAGACTTATGTACATAGACTGTGGGAGCTTGCAAGGCAAGACTTAACGAAAAGAATAGTTATATTCCCTTTCTATTGTCCTCCGACATGTCCTTGTCGCACAGAAAGAAAAGAAAAGGTTTAGTTCTTATCACGCAAAACTTTTTTCAATAGAAGTTAAGCCAAACAAAAATAGATTGCCCTTGCGCTTGTTCTCTCTTTCTCTGGTGTCATAGCTTTTTGTAGAAGCGCTCAGTCCATGTATATGTCAGTCTTTGATCAAATGAATGTTTCTTTTTTGTTTCTCAATGTGGATTGCGCTCACAGGTGTACGTCGGCAAGTTCATCCCACGTATGGAACGCCGAAAGGATTTGGATGAAAAGGCTGATGTTTCATTGTTCCCAAATTTTCACTTTGACGAGGAAATGTCTTTGACTGACAAGCTGAATTACGTTCAGGACGATTACAAGCCACAAAATGCTGATCAAGAATGTCAAGTAGCAGTGGCACAGCTTGAAATCTATCGTGACATTATGTTCGCCGAACGTAATACAGGTAATATTAAGGAAATTATGAATAGAATGTTACAAAAGTAAATTATTATTACGCCTGTAACAGTAATTTGCTTTTGTTTAAAGTTAAACCTGTATTTCTTTAATCCTTAAGATACAAATATGGGTATTACGTCCGATCAATTTCTATCCATAAGTTTCTCGAAATTTTAAAAAGTTTTCCATTTCTTATCCGCTCCTAGAAAAATGTTCGTCTTGGGAGAGACCTTTGTGTTATGGGGCGAAACCAAAACTATCAGTTTCTCTGTAAATAACATGTCAAGATAAGAGTTAATCATCCTGATAGAAATCGATTAGATAAGAATTGGATTAGAATCCAGTCTTGTAAGTTTAACTATGAATCAGTCTCTTGTGTACAGAACCAGGCATTATCCTGTATTGTTATCATTTGTATTATTTATTTTATCGGAGTTTGTTTTGAACATCTAACAGATTAGTCATGTATAAAGAAGTACCACAAACCGCTATTAAAAATGAAATTAAAAAGTTATAAATGTCTCGAAAGGCTTGAAAGCAACCAGAAAAGTTGTTGTCTTTTAGTGGTATATCTGAAATGGTTTCTATAGAGGATGGTCTGTAAAAATAAAATTATTATTTGTTAATTAAACTTATTTTCTTATCTTACAAATGAATGAATATGAATATGTACTTAATTATTGTAACAATATAATTGCCTTAACATTATTATATTGATTATAATATTGTACAATAATAATTGTAGTTGGATTCAAATATTAGTGAAAATAATTGTTACTTTACAATCTCTCTGTGTTTCAGATTTACAAGCAGTTGGTGGTGTCAGACTAAGCCGTTTCAGGACGTATCCAGCCGTATCCAGTTTTCGTAGAGGATATACACGGCGTGTAGAGGATATACACGTGCGCAGCGAGCAGTCACTGCAGTTCCATTCGGGCAATTGGTTCACGCCTTTGACTGGCCCACATTTAGAGCCAGGAGCAGCCGCTCGCAGCGAGCAGTCACTGCAGTTCCATTTGGGCCATTGGTTCACGCCTTTGACTGGCCTATATTTAGAGCCAGGAGCAGCCGCTCGCAGCGTCAATCGCAGGGCAACAGCAAAGCTGACAAAAGCAAATGCTAAGAGAATTCCTTACAGACTCCAAAACACGTATCATCCACGACTGACTGGTATCGTTTGAAGATTGCAGAATATTTGACGAATAACTGCACAGCCAACGTGTGACCATTTTGCATGCTCATATGCAGATTATTTCGCATAAGGCATTTCCAGGGTTACATTTACACGAAAAGAAGCAACGACATTGGCTAGGCATTCCTATACTTCTGCTGTAGTAGCGAGTGAAGCCTGAAATTGACAGTTTGAGACAGAGCGAGAAAGTTGATTTGCCTCTAATACTTTCTCACTTTTTCTTTCTTTCTCTAGTATAAAATATTTTGTCAAACGCGCGCGTTTGAGAAAAGCACGCATTTGATTAGTGTAACCTATGGAGATGCATGTTTGATGCGCGTTATAACGCGCGGAAACGCGTGCATGGAAACCAGGGATAATGGCGACTCTTTACAGTCGCTCTAAAGGCCTCTGTCCACGATGCTAAAATTTGGTCTAAGTTCTCGGACCAAGTTCTAGCATCGTGGACACAGGCCTTAAGCTAGAGTGAAAAAGGGCAATTAGGGGCAAATTATATACGTCATTGGAAAGAAGTTGCAACAAATGTTGATTATTCATATAACAAAGTTGGCTGCAAATGTGTGAACTATATTATTTAATTTCTAAAAACCTTCAGAAACTATTTTCTTTAACATATATTCTCTTTTTATAATAGGTCTTGACAGTCCTCTTGATCTACGGATAAAGAAGCTTTGATGAGAAGTATTATACTTTACGAAATATCTAGAAAGGCTTGCGCTACACCACACATGCGCCAGAAATCCAGCAATCTTCCAACACTGCTGACCGGTAAGATCATCGGTATATTGCAGAAGATGCGATTGCGACGACAGCAAATCTTTACATACTGGAGCACGTGGAATCCGAGAAGGCCAAACTCGACGAAGCCGTGGCCGTATTACTGTGGCGTGAGCACTTATCAGGCTAAGCAGTCGCACAAAAAAAAGTAATAAAAATAAAACGTCTTATCGATAATCTTTATTTTTAATAAGAATTAAATATCAATAAGTTTTAAATTTGATTCGATGTACATCGTAGTTTTGTTCACTATTTTATTTTATTTCTTTAAATTTATACAATTATAATCGTGTCAATTGTATGTTTTTGTAACGGATTTACTTTCCAAGACGTAACCGGCTCCGAGATATCACTTGAGAAAACAGTAATGTACTTTTTACGATATAAAATTTCAAGGGAGAAATATCTTCGTATTCGGCATATTAGAATGCGGACACGTTTTCTGAATGAGCGGTTACGTTCGCCTTGTATTTGTTTACTGAAGGAAATGGAATTGTGAAAAATTCCTAGTTTTAGAATTTTAAGATAAATATTTCTTTCAAGATACATGTATATAAGACTAATGTTCAGCAGATGTAACGATTGACTTATGAAAAGTTGATTTAATTCAATAGATCTCATGTGTAATAGACAGTATTAGATATTCAATAGATCTCATGTGTAATAGACAGTATTAGATAGGATATAACCGCAGGCAATCATCGCTTAACGTATACAATTGTTACATCTGCTGAATAGATTTTTTGTTTTAATACTTTTTTGTCTAATATTAGTTTTCAACTATTTCTTACCAATTTTTTGCAAAATGTAATTAATTGATTTTATTTCATTATTTTTAAATAAAAATGATCAGAACAGTGAAATTTTTGTTAAAATGTTATTTTATAATTAATTTTTTAATTATGTTTTAAAATAAAGCTAGATTTGATCCGAAAAAATGGCTCAAAGTGGTCAAATTTCAAATAAAAAAGAAACAAAATTTTGATATAACGTAAACAAATGATTACCGGGGGTGCTACGGAGGCACCTATCATAATCTACCAACAAAACTAAATAATTATTTTGGTTGTACTGTGTAATGAAAAAAATGTGTTGATACGCAGGAAAATTTGTATTTTGTGACTGAATCAAAATATGAAATAAATATGAAAAAAGTTCTTTAAAGATGTGATATCAGAATCAATTAAGTCGCGAGCTTGGAAGCCGTTTGTATGATATATCATGAAAATCTTGGCATTAATTATATGAAAAATATCTCGTTAGTTCTGAAACAGAGAGCTAATATTATTATTGAGGACATAAACGTACTTTCCTTGATAACTTGCACAGTTGTGACTGCATCTGGTTTCAGTTTATCTTTATGGTTTCTATATAATTTAAAAATATTAAAAATATATAGATAAATAATTTTTAATTTATCCAAATATATCACACATGCATGGTATCTTTTATTGCTTAACAATATTTTCCTCAAATTTGCAATACGCAATGTGCACAGGTTTAAGGAAGTATACGCGATAAACGATAAATATATATCCTCGTCTTCTACACCTAATCAACTATCTCGGAAACTTATACATCCTTCAATATGTGACAAATGGACAAGACATCATAATTACGAAGCATAAAAATAATCATATACATATATCGCATGATTTCTTTCAATAAATATGTCGCGTATTTATTGCACTGTGTAGATCGCGTACGATTTTCAATTTTGTGAATTTCTTATCGAGGAACAGCGTTAATATAACTATATATTTAATTTGTATAACGTCATTTCAAAATCGTCTTTTCTTCCGCTATTATTTCCACGATTCTCATGGTGAAATTGTTCAACTGCAAATCTGATATCTCGATTATATGCTGTAGTATTATGTTTCAGTATTTAAATTCTAAACGAATAAATACAAAAATAAAGCCTAGTAAGTCTAACGGAAGTAAACAATCCCTCGATTTGTCACATATATACTCTGTCCTTCATATTAGTGGTTGAAAGTCACAGTTTCTTCGGCTATCCGGTATTCTAATAAACAGACATGTGTTGCCAGACAAAGGAAAACATGAGCAAAGGTAGAACTATATAACTGCTGTCAGTTCACAACGGTCCGTTACAGAGGATTATTAGGAGCTGTAGAGTGACTCTGCTAAAATGGATATTCTTTCAACAAATAATGATCCATACAGCTGTGCGCTACCAGGTACTTTAATTATTTAATTAGCTACATTAAAATGACGTAAAGCATTTAAAATGTTTTTATTTACTCTTTTTTAAGAATATGGAATGAAATGACAAATATGTTAACACAATTCATTTGGGAAGACGAGATTCTCTTCCCGTTGTACATATATTTATTAACATACTTGTCTTTAGTAATTAACAATTTTCAAAATTAGATTGCTAATTTGCGACGTTAATTAACTTACAATATTCTCAAGTGCATATACTGTGTTAGCATAAAGACTTGAAAATTATTTACGTATTATAAATATATCAAGAAACACGGTAATGTCTCGCGTAAATAATACCGTACGCAATTATTATATTAATTTTAATTACAATATATCGTTTTTGTCATGTGCATTACATTTCTATATTACCAATTATTATCAATATTAACTTATATATTTTTTAAATTTATGTACTTGTCTAATTATTAGAACTTGCGCGTGTGATCCATACCCATTTAGAGTTGAAAGTGGATTTTGATCAAAAAGTTCTTGAAGGGAAAGCGATTTTGAATATAGTAAAAAAATATGAAAATTGTGAAAAAGGGACTATTGTGAGTATAAGTAGTGAGATGTTTCTTTCTACATTCAGAAAAAATTTTATTTTATTATTGATATGTATGGTAATGTCGAATAATTATAGTTTCTGGATAGCTGCAATCTTGATATAATAAAAGTCACAGATTCTAATACTGGGTTACCGTTATGTTATGATATTGGACTTAATTGTTCTTGCGGAAATATATTTAAGATAGAGTTGCTAGGAAAAAATGTATTACATAAAATAGAGATTGAATACAGAACAAGTGAACATTCACATGCACTAATTTGGCTAACACCTGAGCAAACTGCCGATGGCAAACATCCTTTCCTATTGTCTAACACTAAGGTAAACTTATAGTTAAATAGATAAATAAACAAATCAATTTATCTTGATCAACGTACGTTAAGAATTAAAATCTTTTAGTATACATATGCAAGAGCCATGTTCCCATGCCAAGACACACCGTCTGTTAAGACTACGTATTCAGCTAAGGTAAAAATTTATACATAGACGGTATTTATATGGATTCTTTACTTATTTATACATATAAACACAGTAACATGATTATTATTAATACAATTCATAAAGTAATGAAAAGTTTGGAAAGAAATTGTCATGTGTAAATAAAATTAATTTAAATGTATGTTTGTG